AACCCCTTCGCCCAAGGGAGCCCTGTTTTGCTCCCATTTCACGGCAGCTCTGAAACAGGACTCAGCGAATTTCAGAGTCCCACACACCTGTCCATTCTACCTGAACCTACCATTACCCTTGTCCAGGCAGTGGGACCCCCCCTCCACGACGCCCAAGCCTGACGCCCAAGCCTAACGGAGGCTTGGCCTGACGGAGGGCACAATGGATTGTGGAAACTAGTGTGCTAACCAAAGGTAATAGCGGCCAAGTTGCCAGGCGCTGTATTAATGTGTATAGCTTCCACTTTAATCATTTATTGTTCCAAAATGTATTTTACAGTCTTGTTTTTTCTAAAGCTATTAACAGCTGGTCTGTGAATAGTGACGGTTATGCCATTCCACCCTTTTTTTCTCAATTTAGATTTTTGTGTCTATTTTTTTTTTTAAAGATTATGTATGCATACAGAAACTGGGATAAAGAATACAGGGGATTCACCAGAGACAGAGTGGAGAATGGAACAGTTTGCTGGACTGAAACACACTGCTCAGGGTAGCAGCTGGAGACAGGTCTGCTGTGCCATGTGGGTCAGTTCCCTCACTGGGGATTGAACTCTTGATGCAGTAGCTGCAGATAGCTTCATAGTGCTGCACTCTAAACCCTTGTGCCACAAGGGAGGCCCCCTTTTTTTGTCTTTCATAACTGATTGCTTCACCACGGATTTCTAAACTATCCTGAGTAACAGTGATAGCAGTGAGTTCCCTGTGTGGCTTCTGACGGGGGTGGGATCGCTCACAGCGTGTCAGCACTGAGTGTGATGTTGCTGGGGGATTGTCATATGCAGCTTTTATAGAGTTAGGTAAGTTCCACTTAGTCTCTTTGAAAGTTTTTATCATCAGTGGATGTTGGTTCTTGTTGGATGTGCTTTCTGCATCTCTTAAGAGGAGATCGTGTGTTTTGTGTCTTCTTTGTTGTTATCTCGTCAATGACATGAATTAACTTGCCTATGTTTGTCCTGCTTTTCCTCTGTAGGATTGAGCTCGCTTGACCATGGAGGTTGATCCTCATAGGCAGCTGTGTTTAGTTTTTTAGGATTTAGTTGAGGTTTTATGCTTTGGTGTTCTCTGGTGATGCTGCTCTATTTTTCCATTTTATGCTGTCTTTGTTTTGGAGATCAGGGTGATGTTGGTGTAAATTTGTTAGGGTCAGTTTCTGTACTAGTCTCTGATGAATTCTTTTCTCTACCTCTGAGTGGTTGTATTTCTTCTGAATGTAGTTAATCCATGTGCTCAGTTCTCGTCCCCTTTCTTCAGTCTCGAGTCTCCTGACTCAGTCAGTCAACTGTGCCTGACAGTTCTGCCACTTACACTTGAGCCTGGACCTCCTGCCCATCCCCAGTGCCATGGGCTCAGCTCCCACATGAATGGGGTCCTGTAGCTTTCCCGATGCGCCTGCATGCAAAATGATCGCCTCATC